AAAATGATAATAACCAGAGGTAAAATAAGAAGAAAAGAAAAGAAACTGGGTTGATAGGGGTAATGGAGCCTTTCACACCGTGCGGGATTCCTTATAGGGTATAATTTGATTATGGTGCGTCACAACATCCCTGAATAAATTAAACACAACGCTTACCTTTGATACCAGTATTTGGCCTTATCTAAATCTCTTGTTGTTCCAATTCCATTTCGATAACATTTTGCTACTTTTGACATTCCAGTTGCGTCTTCCAACTCTGCTGTTTTTTGATAATAAATGAATGCATTACGTTCATCCTTTTCAACTCCAATTCCATCAAGATAACAATTTCCAACATTATACGTTCCCCAAATGTCCCCCATATCTGCAGATTTTTGAAAATAAATGAATGCCTTACGTTCGTCCTTTTCAACACCAATTCCATTAAGATAATAATTTCCAACTTCAAATATTCCACTAGCGTTTCCCATCTCAGCAGATTTTTGATAATTAATAAATGCCTTACGTTCGTCCTTTTCAACACCAATTCCATTTTCATAACAAAATCCAACACCAAATGCTCCTTTAGCGCTTCCCATCTCTGCAGATTTTTGATAATAAATGAATGCCTTACGTTTATCCTTGAATACTCCAATTCCATCAAGATAGCAACCTCCAACAGCATTCATTGCGTCAGCATTCCCCATCTTTGCAGATTTTTGATAATAAATGAATGCCTTACGTTCATCCTTGAATACTCCAATTCCATTATGATAACAATGTCCAACTTTAAATATTCCTTCAGAATTGCCCATCTTTGCAGATTTTTGATAATAAATGAATGCATTACGTTCATCCTTTTCAACTCCATCTCCATTTTGATAACAATTTCCAACATAATATGTTCCATTAGCATCTCCCATCTCGGCAGATTTTTGATAATAAATGAATGCATTACGAACATCCTTTTCAACTCCAATTCCAAATGAATAACAGAAACCAAGATTAAAAGTTCCACCTGCATGTCCCATCTCAGCAGATTTTTGACAATAAATGAATGCCTTACGATCATCCTCTTCAACTCCAAGAAAATAAAGTCCAACTCTATATATTCCATCAGAATTGCCCATCTCTGCAGATTTTTGATAATAAATGAATGCATTACGTTCATCCTTTTCAACTCCAATTCCTGAATGATAACAATTTCCAACTTTATACGTTCCTTTAGCATGCCCCAACTCTGCTGATTTTTTATAATAAATGAATGCATTGCGTTCATCCCTTTCAACTCCAATTCCACGTCGATAACAATATCCAACACTATATGTTCCACTAGCATGCCCCATCTCTGCAGATTTTTGATAACAAATGAATGCCTTCCGTTCATCCTCTTCAATTCCAATTCCATGCCGATAACAATATCCACCATTATATGTTCCATCAGCACTGCCCATCTCTGCAGATTTTTGATAATAAATGAATGCTTTACGTTCATCCTTTTCAATCCATTTACCATGCCTATAACAATGCCCAAGAATTATTTGGGCCATAGGATTGATTTGATTTTCTTCACATGTTTCTTTTACAACTTTGGCTATAATAGTACCAGAGCATTTATTTAAATCAACCATTTTTGCAAGAATAATAATTGGATGATTTTTATCTTCACTCCAATAAAAAAAACAAACTAAAAACACCTTTTTATCTCTCCTAGTACTTTCGTCAGCCATCATGCCATATGAAAAAGAAGAAGAATATGATTCTCCTGGTCGATTTTGATAAAGTGTTATCCTAGAAACCTCTTTATTTCTGCCGCGAAAGAGTTTTTGTTGAAAGCGAATAATCAGGCGGTTCACCAGTAAAGAAAGTTATCATTTCTTTAATGCATTCAGCTGCCGCTGAGAGAGAAATAGTCCCAATATTACTTATATCTGTAGTGAGTTTAACAAATTCAGCTGTGTATATATGATTATTTTCTTTTATCATTTTTTTTGCTGCAATTTGGAACTGACTTTTTGTTATTTTTTTCGATTTTTGAGCAACGGACTGAATTCTGGAAATATATTTCTGTTTCGCTTCTTCTGCTCGTACCATCTTCATACAGAACGACCTAAGCTCACTATTCGATGTACTTAATGATTTAGCTAATTTTTTATTTTCAGTTTCTTACTTTTTTATTTTATTTTGTAAAGCATGCGCAGATGAAGAGTGTTTAAAAAGACCACTCGTCACGAATTTATTTGCTTTATCTTGTAAGTATGGTGACAATATTTCACCTTTAGTTTTACCTTTAGAATATGTCATAGTATTAATTAAATGCTCAATTCTTAGAATTTGATTATCCGGTAAACTTTTTACTTTATCGATTAATGCGTCGAGCTTTTTTTCGATAGTGCTTTGTTGTTTGGGGTTGATCAAATCAATATAACTTTGTACTTTTGTTAATTCATCTTGGTCCAAGGGATTAAGGATTTCATAAATATTAATGTTTGGGAAATTTATTGAATTAATATAGTTTTGAACTTTTATTAATTCTTCTTTGTCTAAAGAATTAATAATCTCATAGATGTTGATATTTGAGAAATTTATTGAATTAATATGGGATTGAAGTTTTATTAACTCTTCTTTGTCCAAAGAATTAATAATCTCATAGACGTTGATATTTGAGAAATTTATTGAATTCATATGGGATTGAAGTTTTATTAACTCTTCTTTGTCCAAAGAATTAATAATCTCATAGATGTTGATATTTGAGAAATTTATTGAATTAATATGGGATTGAAGTTTTATTAACTCTTCTTTGTCCAAAGAATTAATAATCTCATAAATATCACAACATCGTTTTTTATTAGCTTCACGGTCTTTGGTAATTTTTTGTAGACGTTTTCTTTTATTTGTTAGGTGGGTCATTTTTAACAAATTGAACTAGATTTAAATACAAAACTTTACGTTTTAAATAAATATTTATTTATTTTCAAATATAACCATAGTGAGCTCATAAAAAATTTTACATCAAATTTTTATCAATTTATAATTAATATATGTTTTAATAAAAAATTCCAATAAATTTACAAGAGTATTCATTTTTTACTAATGGGGTTTTAAAATTATTTTATTTTTCCGATTTATAATTCAACGTAGTAAAGACTATGAAACGCGCTACTTATTTGTTAAATTTGAAAACCTAATATAGATTTAGAATTAATTATTAATCGCAATTCTTACTCATTTTGCTAAATAATAACAGCATCTTAAAATACCTTTGAGTTTCAAGTTAAAATAAGAGAATCTTTATTTTATTTTTCCAATTTAACAGTAAAAATGCTATTGAAAAATCCTATTTATTTTCGAAACGCGTCACTTATTTGTTAACTATGAAACCCCTATATACAAAGTTCACATATATTAATGCGATTATATTAAAAATCCAAATATTTTAACTTTAAATAAGACTTGACACGTTTATATGTCAACCTTGATTGATTCTCAACGCGAGAGTTTCGATCACGTGATAATTATATGAAAATTCATATTTTTAAAACGTTATAACTCCCGCTCTAGTAAAGCAAATTTAATTCTGTAACTTGCGGATAGTGTATAAATAGTGTGGTTTTGAATCTATGTTGCAATATTTAATATCAATATGTAAGTTTAATGTGTTTCTATGTTCTAAACTTAAAAATAACGACGATTTTACTATTAAAATTCAATAATTTGGAATTTTCGTTAAATTAATCAAATAAATTAGAAAATGTCTCAACATAGGTTTAAAATTATATCGTTCATATGTCGTTTGCAAGTTACAGAATTGAATTTGCTTTACTAAAGCAGAAGTTATAACGTTTTAAAAATACATGGATTTTTATAATAAAATTACTATGATAAATCATTTCGATAGATTGATCAAAAATCTTACATAGTGCGTTTATCATATTGTGCTGCACTATGATAGTAGATCATTTAGTATGCGACACCCCAGTTAATTATTAATGTACAATTACGTACTACGTATGATGTTAAAATAATTACTAATAAAATTTGTAATTATGCATAGTAAATACGTACATGTCTAATTTTAACGTAACTACTGAAATACGTCTATATGTTGTAAGTGGGAATGGAATTTAAGTGGATTTGGAATTTCCTAGTTAAATTAGGGTTAGGGTTAAGGTGTACATATAAAATCAACCAAAACAGTGATTTTATATATAAATTCAAAATCCATTTAGGTTCCGATTCCACTTACAACATACAACATATATAGTTCATTGAAATTTAAATAAACTATATAATTACTATATTTAATAAAAATAAACTTTCAATAACTTTTAAGACAATTCCATTTATACAAATATGACACAAAATTAAAGCAATGATTAACAGGAGGAATCCTATGCAGAAGAAATTAGTCAAAGTAATATTGCAGCAAAAGCAAAACCTTGATCCAGGATTGGTGGGTGAGGTGTTATTTTAAAAGAAGCATGAATTTGCTTGATACTTTATTTCAAGTTGACAAATAATTAATATGCTACTTATTTTTTTATAACTTATAATCTATGATAATAACATGTAATTTGAATTATATTTGCTTTGCGTAACTCTTTATTTGAAGTATATTGGCTTTTGGAACTCACAATTTACAAACCTTTCAATAAATTAATTGTCGTGACTCGAATTACTCGAATAAACAAATGACATGACACTGAACTCCGCGTGCATAATTTATTTATTCTTGATTAAAAGTCTTACAATTTTTACCTTAATATTTTATTCGTTATTTTTTCTATACAGGATGATTTTAATGATACAATCATAAGTTATGGAATTTGTGAGAATAGTCATATCCAGCTTATCGTCGTACTTTATTCTATCTCGCAAATTTATGCTTTAAAAAATTTAGTATTCGACTTATATTGGGGTTTCCTCCCTCAAAAACATCATTTCTCGACGGCTCTTGTTTGATATATGAAATGATAGATTATTGAATATTTCATGTATTTCACATTCTGGAGATATCATAAACGATAAAAATGGTTTGTTTGACTATTATAATCAATTGTATATTTTATTTTTATGTTTATTGATAAATTTCTGTCATCTTTACAGCTACAGGACATCATAAAATTCTAGTGAAACTTGATCAACTTCCTCCTAGTTTATAGTTTACGCAGCTTTATTTAATATTAAGATCATTTTCATATTCGACAATTGAGCACTTC